AGGAGCATAAATTTAGCTGTGCTGTTGTAGTCGCTTTCACCCCGGAGAAGCCACCAGCTGTTCCCAGCCATCATGCAGGCATTGCTCTTATCCCTGCCTTCGGGATCTTTTAAATTCCTCCGTCCGCACGTCCCCTTATATTTGCCTTCAGAATTTTAAAATGTCTCTGTCCTCATGTTCATTACCTGTCTCCCCAGCTTGACCCAGTACATCCCGCTAGATGCTTGTAGCTGAACTGACAGCGTTATTAGTGATCTATAACTAGATATTGATATTGCACAGCAAATCATAAACGTCTGTTTCGATTTGTGTGTGGCGGCGGTGGCTTAGGCAGTAGTGCTGTTGTCTCGCATCCCCTCTCCATTGCAGAGTTAGCATGTTCTCCACATGTTGCACCTCTGTTTCCTCAGGCAGACCAAATACATGCAGTTAAGGTGAGTGACACCTCAAAAATGGCTGTAGCATTTAATGTTTATGTATATGTGCTTTGGAATGACCCAGCATCCTGTACTCCAGCCTCGTGCTGCCTGTGATAGCACCCCACCCCCCCCAGGCAAAATTCATCAGTAGCAAATTTTATCATATTTTACTGAAACGTTAGTGAAATTCATTGTATTGAAAAGGTTATTGTTAGATTTGACCAGTGTCCTTTGAGGTATCTCTAAATTGGACATTTGCAATCCACTGCTGTAGAATATTACTTGGTGATCTTTCCTTGAATTGGAGGTCAAGGCCGGAAGGCAGGTCCACTTGACAGCAATTTTCTTACCCTTAGAATGGATTTTGATATTTCAAAGAGCTGCTCAGGACATGTAGGTTAACTTGCTTGTTAGACTGATTTGTAGCAATGGAATGTGCAAGATACACTGTATATTGGTCATATCAGGCTGTTCTTATTCAAACTTTTGTCAAAAAGGCGTCTTAAAAACCATCGGCTCAGTTTCAGCTACGTAAAACATTTTACTTCTCTTGTTGACCTGCAGGTTTACTGCTTCTTTTTCAAGAAAATATGTATTTTAATCTTAGTACATGACAAGACTTATATGGCTAATGGAAAATCTTGATGGTGGGTCTTCATTCTAGGATTAAACATCCATTTAAATGTTGTACTGAAGACCCCAGCACAGCCTGGCTCCCCCTGGTGGCCAGTCAACTGCATCCCTTCTTTTGGATTAAAAAAATCAGTTTATGATGTTGGACATTGTTTCATTCATGCTCATTTCTAGGGGGAACGGCTGTGTTTCCGGTGTAATTTTAGGCATATAATAGCCACTAAATGTTTTTGAACTTACCTTGTTATAAAAAAATGGACAATTCAGGGAAATGTTACAAAAATACATCTGAAGTAATGATGTGAATCCATTTTGTAACTGTTAGTTTCATGATTCCTCTTCTCTGTCTTATTGTACATTTAATAAACCAAAGGCATATATTTTACATAAGCTAAAATATCTATTTGTCTATGAATGTTTGACAAACTTTTCATGTCTTAAACTGTTTTGGCTCTGTGTTCCCTGTCTCCCCTGTATTTTAGAGGCAGTGTGAAGCTCTGTGGGTTTGGCTAATGTACCTGTGTTCGTAATGGTGTCAATTCAAATCCCAGCATCAGGAGAGTGGTTTTAATGTTGGCCCCCTGGAAATGGCCCCTAACCTCCAAATGCTCCAGGGACTGACTGACCCTGCTTTCTCTATGTCCGTGCTTTGAATAAAAGCGTCGGCTAAATAAATGCATTTCTCTGTCCTGCATATCACTCTCACATGCCTGCTTCCTGGTAATTAGTGCTGTGAAACCGGAGCTGAGTCAGTGCCACACGGTGGCAGCCTTGCCCCGGACAGAGTTGCCAGAGAAAGGCTGGGAGTGTGGCGGTCCGTGTGTGTGAGCCGTAGAGTGTGTACGGCAGCCCCTGGATTTGATGGGATGACCGTGTAGATAGCAGTTTCCACACAGAGCTGTGTCTTAAAGCACACTAGCTGCTTATTCTGTCATTCCACACGTCGCCTTAGAATACTGCCACTAGTTGTTAAATATAAAGTGTACATAAATAATCTATACAAATTTGAAATGAGGTGGCACAGTAGGGACACACCTCCAGGGCTGTGGATGTGGGCAGCACCTGTTCTTATCAATGTGGAATCCTAGGTGACTATTGCCGCCACCCCCTGGCAAAGAGAAATTGGCAGGCAAGTCCGTGCCCCCTGAGAAGTTGGCACCCTAGCAGTTTACATATTCTCCCCATGGTCACGCTGCTTTACCTTCCCATAAACCAAAACTGAACCGATACAGAGAAGATTAGCATGGCTCTGCACATCAATAACCCACCGCTTTGATCTGAAATGTCCACTTCCTGTTCAGAGCTACACTATGAAAACAAAGCCTTCTAAGTAAGTTTTAATTCATGGAGAGGATGAATATGTCCTGGGGTGAGGCGGGTCCGAGGATAAACCTGTTACTTGTTAACAGTTGCTTGCATAATTACCATTGGCCCGTGATCACTGAGGATGTGTGAATGATCATAAACAAGATCTTATTGTTTGTTAGGGAAGGATAACTATGGCAGTGTGGTTACTCCTTTTCCCTACTTCCCAAATAAATCCTTCTTACCCTCTAATTCTACAGCTCTGTTTACTGTCCTAACAGAAGCTACCCTTTTTTACCTAGCCCTGCATCGGAAACGATGGCCGTAATTACTGTGGTTTGAGTTTTCAGTCTGAGTGGCTGTGCCGCCCTCCTCTTTGGTTTTGTCTCACGAAATGAATCATCATTCCGGTTTTTGTTTATGCAAATTGATGCATCAGTCTGGCCAAATTCAGTTCCAAATGGTGAAGGAAACAACTGATTTTCAAATGCAAAAAGTATTTTGCTCTGTAGACAAGGATTTTATCCTTTAAGTCCCCATTAGCTGGGAATTTCTTTGGAGGTGATTTTCTTCTGGGTTTCTCATTTCTCCACATGAACCACTAAACATCATTGCAGATTCAAGAGCCTGATATCCTGAGCAGGTGTCAAGTTTTGAAATTGCTGGAAGGAAATAAAAAAAAAAGAAAAAAAAAAAAAAAAGAAATCAGTCGTGCTTTTAGTATGTAGATGCTTATCGTAGTTCAGTCCAAAACAAAAGGCATAAGTTTGGGCTGAGCATTAAGGTTGATGTCTCCACCCATCAATTTAGGGGGGTCCAAGTTGTTGTATTGGTTTTGATTATTGGGGGGAGGGCGCTTACAACCCCCCCAGTCCTCCTTATAATTTATTCCCATGCTCCAGAACAGTGGACATGACGCTTGTTGCAGAACCTAATGTTTCCATGGTGTTGCACGATATAAAAAGCAGCTTAGAGGAAGGTACAAGACAACAGATGGTCAATATCACACCCACATGGAAATCAAAACACATATTATCCTGTTATTTATGACATGCTTGACTGCAATTCAAACTCCACCAGGCCGGCAATTACAATGGAGGACAAGGAGCAAACAATGTGCATAAGTACAGGGTTCTGGGTGGGAGGAAAACACAAAACATTTCTAGGAAATGAAATGCTACTTTGAGTTGTTCTTAGCCTTGTCAAACACAAATGACATGAAATATGACACAGAGGAATGTAGTGGACTGGCATCCTGTTTGTGGAGTCGTCTGCCTTGTATTTCCCAGGAGGGCCTGTAGACCCTGTACTGGAAAAGCAGTTGCAGAGCACTGGTGGATGTATGGATACGTGGAAGACACATAGGATGCTACTTTACAACATTCGGTAATGCTTTACATTACGTGCACCTTCATAATGCATTAATTATGCATTCATAGAATGAACTGACATTCGTGCACATTCATAGACCATTCATAAGCAGCATGCAAGTACAACTTAACATCCTCCATCCATCCATTGTCCAACCTGCTTATCCTACTGGGTCATGGGGGGTCCGGAGCCTATCCCGGAAGCAATGGGCACGAGGCAGGGAACAACCCTAGACGGGGGGCCAACCCATCGCAGGGCACACTCACACACCATTCACTCACACATGCACACCTAAGGGCAATTTAGCAACTCCAATTAGCCTCAGCATGTCTTTGGACTGTGGGGGGAAACCGGAGTACTGGGAGGAAACCCCACGATGACATGGGGAGAACATGCAAACTCCACACACGTGACCCAAGCGGAGACTGGAACCCAGGCCCCAGAGGTGTGAGGCAACAGTGCTAATCACTGCACCACCATGCCACCCCTCAATGTAACATCCTAACATTCCTTAACAGCTTTAATATACATTAATAACAAACATTACATGATTATACAATTACAAGCATTATGTAAAAGGATTATGAAGGTGCAGCTAATGTAAAGCATTACCAAACATTCAATCTGCTCTTCCTGTTTTTTTATATGTATGTTCCTTGGGCTGCTCACTGTGGGTTCATGCAAGATAGACCAAACTGGCATCAAGACTAGCATCCCATCCAGGATGCATGCCTGCCTTTTAAGTGCTGCCTAGGATAGGCTCCGCCCTCCACCCATCCTGGATAAGCTGTGAGATGTATGGACATCAACCAGCCATTTCTGGCTTCACTAATGTCTCTTGAAGCAATGTAAGTGAGGTATAATTTCATGCTTTATGCATTTATTGAGATGGATTAGTGTGAATTTAGGATTCAGCAAGATGACAAAGCCCCTTTCAGACATGGGCTACCAACCTGAACTTTTTTAGGCATTACCTGGAGGGGCTGGATGTGTTACCGCATATGTCCGAATCAGCTCCCTAGTATATAGTCTGGTTAATTTGTGAATGACCCCCATGTGCGAATGACACGGACACAGCTGATAAAACACGCACAATTTTTTTTTAGGTTATGCGTTCTTTTGATTATGAATTCAGACTACCTGGATTCCTTCACAGCTTGCTGTTCTGGAGACCATTAGACTATCATAGGACAACCGTTTGGATCTTGTAGGCACAGATCATGCACTCATGTTAGTTCTGGTACTCGGAACATCAGCAACACAGTATAATGGTAGGTTTCAGATATATATATATATATTTATTTATAATAATCAAACACACAAATCAGCAATTACATTTTACATAAAACATACATAAAATTTTAAACCAAAACTTCGGCACAATGATGTTCCCCTCCATAAAACATGATGTATTGTTAAGACCTTCCTTTACATTGTTCATTCATAACACGATTCATAAAAAGGCCTTCCTAGACCCGCAATTTTACTTCCTTATCAAAAGCAACAGTTGTAGGTAAAAATTTACCTATTACATCATCTCTAAAAATGAATGATTTATTTGACCGCAACAGAATTTTGTGAAGGAAGTGGAATTGTATGGGCATTACTTTTGCTTTTCTTTACAAATATTCCATACGGAATGTCTGTCCCTGTGAATTCTTCTGGAACGGAGACCTTTAGCACTGAACATAGCACTCATACAGAGAAGCAGGCCAGGAAAATTTAATAATAGCATTTTTTTTTAAGTGTTAGCCATTGCTAGCATGGGTGTTGTATATCACTTAACCAGCACTGCCTTCGAAATTTTTAAATGGTTGTTTAAGCAGTAATAGACCGGGAAGGTTTTACATGAATGGTGGTGTTGTTCCCTTCAACACGGGTCAGGCTAGTTCCTCTCAAAACATCATGACTAAGCATCTTTAAGGCCTCACGTTACAATACGTAAGTGGGCATTTGTTTCAAAATAAGTCAGGGTCTTGCCTTATTTCTGTTGCTAAAGTCCTCCACCCCAAAAACCTAGTAAAACGATGCATATGCCAATGCTAACTTTCCCCCCCTTTTTAAATTCTTTGATATGAGTATAAAAGCTTTAACGGTGATTAATTTCCTTCATGCCTAGAACATGCTCTTACTGTATTTGTATATTAGCGCTGACATCAGCACTGACATCATGAGGTCTGCTGACATCAGCACTGACATCATGAGGACTGCTGACATCAGCACTGACATCATGAGGACTGCTGACATCAGCACTGACATCATGAGGACTGCTGACATCAGCAGCAGCAGCCACAGGCCAGCCAAGGCAACGTTGAGTAATGTAACCCTGCTGTCAGTCACCCCCAGAACGGCACACCCCCCACCCCCATACTTCCTGCTTCCAATCCGCCTTGCTCTTTAAGTTCACCTCATCTTAGTGGGTGCTATGGTAATGGTTTCCATTGACAGGCGTTTCCTGTAAACTAGACTGCGAGAGCTCCGGCTCTTTCTGAAACGCCGCTGGCTTCTTGAAGAAGTCCGACACGAAAAACACCTGAAAAACACAGAAGCAGGGTTTGAGAGTTGTGCCATGCCAAAAATGCACATTGGCTCAGATTTCCTACTTTTAAACATCTTTTAAACATTGGCAGGAAAAGCTTATTGTCTGCCATTTCTCGCAGGTGTGCTAACAGCCGTACAGATAAGTTTACAGGTTGCACATGCCACTCGATACCACGCCACAGCCTGTCTGACTTGTCCGTAGTGTTGGCGGTTGCCCCCAGCGACACTCACTATGAGCACTGCAACTAGCGCCCCCTGCAGGAGCCCTGTGAGGACGTCGCTCCAGTGGTGCATGTAGTCAGACACGCGCGTCAGGCCCACATAGACTGAGGCAGAGATCAGGAAGAACTGCAGCATAGGCCGAAGGAGCCTCGCCCACTTCTTCTGGAGTCTAGCTTGCAGATACAGCTGAAAACCAAACAAACCATCACCAGGAGCCTTCAGGGTTATGTTTGGACAGCCAGAAGACAGATCCACAGAATATGTACACAATGTCCACAGGAATTAATGCCCAAGTAAATACTGTTGACGTAGAACAACATTTGAAGGGACAGAATCAGGGACAGATTCTGTGCCTGATGTTCATGCAGGTTCCCAGATGTTCTATCCCACACTGGAGATCAAGCTCCTTATGCTGGCTGGACTTCAGCAAGCCTGTCATTAGCACATCTGAAGAACACACAGTGTAGCTATGAACCTTATAACGTCAGTAGGAAGCCGCAGGCGATCTGGACAGGTGTCTGTGCTGACTGACCGTGCCGTTTATCTGATCTGGCATGTTCCCTAACATCTTTCCAAACCTGAGCTTCGGCTCTGAGTGACAGACCGACTATGGCAGGGAGGCTGGGGTGAGCCTGTATGCAGAGGACTTTGTTGCCAGAACTTTCTGAGTAAAGCTACATGAAAGCAGATTGTGCTGCTTAAGAATATTTCATTCTGTTGATCAGATTTTCAGCATCCTGGATGGTACAGTTTAAAATGGCAGACTGCGCATTTTTTACAGATACAGGGACAAGCTTTTGACATTGAAGGGGGAAACCTTAAACTGAAAATTCCAGTGATTTTCAAGGTTGAATTACTAATTTCATCTGTATATATTCATAAACCATGAACTATGGCAAGAGATTTGGCTAGTGAAGATAGAAAACACGTTTTTGATATGTCCATTTTTTTTCTAAAATTTTCTTTATGGAATTGATACATTAATCACAATGGGAACTATTATATTTATTTAGCTTAGACTGAGAAAGCAGGCCCTAGAGCAACTGGTGATAAGGCCCAACATTGAAACCAATCTTTCAACAACAGGAGCGAAATTGCTGGCCTTACAATCACAGGAGCACAGTACTAATCTGCTGAGCCACACACGATAGAATGACTTACGGCATGGCAGTCTACCACAAAAACATCATTCATATCAAAGTTAAAACACGCATACACGCACAAAATAAATAGACATGAAAACTTCTAACAGTTTCACTTCTTGTCTTTCCATCTTATTTCCATAATTACCCACAAATCCACCGACTTTTGAAAAGGTGCCGGAATCACAAGTCACCTCTTTGTGTGTGACATTAGAACATGGACCCATTGTGGTGCTCGACAGCTAAAGGGAAGAGATACTCACAGCGAGAAACACCATGCAGTACATGGAGAAGGACGAGTGGCCCGAGTAGAAGGACACCCTGTAAGAGAAAATGAACAGGACGTCATCTCCAAACACTCTAAAAATCACAACAAGGCGGTCGTTACGTTTGTGGGGCTGATCCCGAAGAAATCAGCAGCCCACTGTGTTTACAGGCTGCGAGAATATTCCGTGGGGGTCAGCAAATGACATATGATCCCAAAACATGGCACAAGCACTACGAGACTATGCTTACATGCGTGTGAGAACTATAGAGGTGAAAGAACAAGACTACTGTGCTTCATCTGGTATGTCTGATGGGAAAACAGATTAAATTAGCTGAGGTAGAAGGGGAAAATGCTCACTAATTCCTACTTTAAAAATGGGCTCAGTATAATCCCTTTTGTCATCCAACTAAACAAAGATTAATAAATTAGGGTCACATGAGTGTCATGTGACCATAGCACGTCAGATCCCCATAATGCAGTGCAATGAAAGTTACTGTAGGGTGTATCGCTGCAGTAATAGCAGACATGCATTTCAAATCATATATTCTTAGAAATATGCTGTTGCACTTTTTTATATGTTTCATACGTTGCCTTTCTCCCTTGTATTTGGTGTTCAAAATTGCGTGACCTTCTACAGGAACCGAGTGGCATTTTATCAGGTTTGTCAGGCCTAAGAAAAGAGAGTCTTCCGGAAAAACACTGTGATGTGTCCTTGGCTGTAGAAGCTAAGAACAACTTATCTTTTTGGAGGGACCCAGACGGGTTGAAACACTGAAACGAACATGTACACTTCTCAGATATCGAAGCGTGCATATCTCCTCATTGTCTTCAGTTTCATAATTCTACTGCTATATGTATCATATTTAATCCAAACCATAGCTAACAGGTCATCTTATGACACTTTTACAGCAATTCTATCATTCAATACTATAAATTAGACATACTTTTTCTGTTGAACAGTGGTCTCCATTTCCTTATTGTATATTTAGCAGTCATTTTATCTTGCTTGTTTCTATTAATTTGTTTTACATTTTATACTATTTTGTTTTCCTTTGTGTTGAATATTTCCTTCAAGCACAATTCAGGCAGCAGGTGGAAAAGTACTTCACTGCACAGTGAAATGTTTTTTAAATCCAAAAATAGTCACTACGAAACTCAACAGTCTCCATAGTAGGTCTTTTTCTGGCAAAATCCAACAGAAGCCCCAGAGAGATCGCGGCAGCGTTTCCTGTGAACATGCCGTCGGAGGCCTCGCCGTGGGTCTTTCCCCTGCCACTCACCTGGCCTCGTTAACCAAGCTCTCGTCCCCCATGCACGTGGCATTTTCAATGTATCGACCCGAAATGCAGTCATCGGGGCCCAGGGCAGGTTGGCACACCGCCAGGAAGTGTGGCCTCAGTCGGCCAATGGAATACTTGGCGATGTCGGTGAGGGACTGGCTCATGGCCAAACCGAACACGAAGCTGCCCAGGGCTTTATAGATGGCTCTCAGGTAACAGCAAAGGAGCGAGGACTGGGAATTCACTTGTTGATTTGGGTGACTCTGAGTGACAAGGAGACACTCCCCACACACGAGCTGCAGGAACATGAGGAACAGATGAACATGAACCCTTGGGACTATCGGATGTCCCATATGCTAACGACAGATATCATTAATAGACATGGCATTTTCAACAAAATATGCATTTAACAAATACATACCAAATATGGGACTAAGTGCTATCTCTACATAATTATGAGTGTCACAGCCTTATTAATAAACTAGCTTTGGAGGTACATATGTCAGCAATGTGTACAAATATGTAAGCGAAGGTACAGAAAACAGCTGTATTGCATGGGGGAACAAAAAAAGAACAGAAGAGACCATTAAGGTCCAGGAGGTCCATAATACTTACAACAATTAATGTGAATGGAATCATCACTCCCCCCAACAACTGGTAGGAGATGGTGTCTTCCTTAAAGGGGTACCTGATTGAGTCATCGCTACAGAAAAATCCTCTTTTGAATGTATTGTGTTGGGACGTGAGTATTGCAAATGGGAGTCCAGCTAGGAAGAGCAATGAGAAAACACACACACACACACACACAAAACAAATCAAACATTTCATACCAAAATCTACTTCAAAAGCAAGTGCATTTAACAAAGAAAACAGGGGTTCAAACATTAAAACATCTATTTTAAACACTTATCTGCAAAGCAGCTGCATGAAATCACCACAGTGCAAGCAAAGTAGCGTTCAACTGTCATCGAACCCTTAATACCATTTTTGTTTAAAAAAACAATATGGAAGGTACTTTTCACATTGGGCTACATTAGATCTACAAAGATTAAATAATAAAGAGTCCTTACCCTAAAATAGACTAAACATTCATTACAAGACACTGGTATTATGATGGGTGCAGTAATTGTTTTAACATTTAAGCAGGCAAATCGTAAAGAACAATTTCTTATTTACAATGGCAGCCTAGCAGCAAACTAATGAGATACTGGCAAAAGTATAAGGAAAAACTCTGGTCTGCTATACTGCAGTAATTTTAACTCCTCATTGATATGACAGTATAGTGTAACACAATCTTTGCGAGTATAATAAACAATCAGCTATGATCAAAGGTCATATTCTTCACAAACAGCATTAAATGCCATCTTTGATCAATACTGAGATTTTCTACGATATCATGTAATTACATTTTTCGATTACAAAAGCCACAGGCTACGCAACATGCAGCGCAAGAGTTGGAGATGTGAACCTAAAGATTAAAAAGATTCTAAAAGTTGTTTGTTGTACCTTTCTTGAGAAAGCATTGCGGAAAGACTGGCTACTGTCAGCAACACACTTCAACCTGTCTCAGTAAAAGACAGGAATTTGAATCATTATTACAATATTATCATTTTGAGTAATTGGAACACTTTCCCAAAGTCAATCACAATTATAACGGGCTACTACAGGTCAAACAACTTTTTGTGTCAATCCCCAATATTACAAATTATCTTTGAAAACACATTTACTTTTTGATAATCCCTTAGGTCAGAACCTTGTACAGTTTGGGTTTGCAATTCTTTAGAATTATGTTAGGAATTTGCTGTATCTACAATGACCTCAGTGGCATATTCTTGTCCTCAGAAGGTTTCTGTACAGCCACTGGAAACAGATCCGCACTGTTACACAGACAGTACACGTAGAACATAAGAATTAGTAAGTTCCAAATCCTACCCCTCACACGGTCTATTACAGGAGGTGGAGCTGCCCTTTGCAATTTGCAAACTTCATCGCTGAAAAATTTGTGTAGCTTTTCAATAATTATGTATTTCAATATAAAAATATTATGTATTATATGTATGTGGACAGCATGGCCAATCAGTATTAAAGAACCACTGGTTCGCACTTTATACTGACACATGCCCAGGCTTATGGAAGCTTGTGCATCGTCATTACAAATGGTAGCGTGACATACACAACCACAGGCAATAAGGCACACAGCAGTGTGAACATAAAGAGCTGCAAGTCTCATTATCTAGGATAGGTTTTCTTGTAAGGCATTTTTGTCTTCCATCTGAAATCTGAGTGTCAAGAGACTGAACCTCTTGACACTCATGTTCATTAGCCTAATTATTCAGTGTAACACGACCAGTATGACTTAAGTCTGCAACCCTTGAAGGAGAAGCGAGAGCTCCTTCCAAGGAGTACTGAATGAGCATGATACCATCCCCTGTGAGAACGGAGAAGTTATATGAGACCGTAAAACCAGGAGATCCGAAGCTGATCTACCCAGAATGCACATCATGTGCATCCAAAAACTGTACTGTTAGCAGAATCACAGCCAGTGTTACTGATTCAGCCAAATAGCTGACACTCACAAGCCTCCACTTGTGCTGCCTAAACAGAGAGGCCCACATTCCTCAACAGATTGCTTTATCAAATCACCCTGCAAATGAATCATAAGAGAAGCACAGCAAACATCAGCCTGTTTAAACAGAACTTTACAGCCTTCCACACTACTTTAGCCTCAGGTCCCAGTTCTTTTCACAATGCTGTAATATCTTACAACATGGCAGTGGCTTGGCTTTTCATCTCATGTCGTTAAAGAGGATGTCGCCATACTAACAGTTGATTAACAGTGGCAAGTTTTGAATGAGGGTGGAAGTGGTGAGTGGGCCAGCAGTCAGCAGCAGACATGAAGACCCCACCCCACCCCACCCCAAGGTTACCATGCTGCTCGTTCTATCATCAGAAACATCTTGAGTACATCTCAAATGACAACAGAGAAACAAAGACCTTTATCTGTCACGAGCACAGGACAGAGATGCTGACTGGGCCTATTCTGATACATCGTCCTCTGTATGCAAAACAAATGCTAGGAATCAGGTACTGAGACGAAGCAGAGACTAAAGTGCTTCTTTGCAAAGAACTAAACTAACTACAGAGAAGTTTCAGCTGAAAACTTCTGTCTAAATCAGGCATGTGTCTCCCACAGCTCTCTGCTTCTCCCATAAGCATAAACGAATCGCACTCACAATTCTGCTTCACGACTTGCTGTAATCAATCTGCCACAACCACCAGGAAATCAGTGCTTCTCTCCAGTACCTAAGACCCATCAAGACGAATTCAGCTTTGCACTATTATGATCTGCAGAATATATGTCCCCATAACATAATGCATATATGCTGTCACACAGTCACATAGTCTACATGTTCATATACTGTATTTTAGTATTCTTTTGATTGCATTCACTGGTTGTTTTTTTAAATTGAGGTTATCCTTGTGGAGACTGGAAAAATGTCCCCACAAGGTAAAAAGTTTCAGGTTTTTAAATCACATTGTGGGGAAATCTGGGGGGTATTCCATGAAAGTAGCTAAAGAAAGGCAGACTTTCCCGAAAAAGTCAGACTCAACCTAGCTCCATCTCTAAACTTAGCCTCATGTCGTTCCTCAAACGCAGTTCAATCAAGGCTCATTCAAGACAGACTTGTATAGTCTCACTTAAATATCGCGGGTGTGCGCACTAAGAAGCCCAAATGAATGGATGAACGATAGATCGACCAAATGGGTCGGAAAGCCTGTAAAACGAGAGCGGTGTTTCTTTCTGCCGCAGAACGCTGCTGATGGAGCTGTATGAAAAATACAGAGATGTAATCGTTTAAAAAAAGCAATACTGTGGCCATGAACACAACCAGGGAGTTGGCTTTGCAATGAATTGCAGACAGACTAAATGCACAAGTTACTAAAATGTTACAAGTACTTAGTACGGTGGTACAGTGGTTTATACTATCGCCTTATAACGCGAAAGTTGCTGGTTCGCTCCTCATAGCCAACGGGGAACCTTCTGGGTTGAGTTCACGTGTCATTATTACTGTATAATATTATTTAATCTCCGTAAAATACTTTAAATGACATCCGTGTGAAATATTCTGCGTAACTTGTCTTTGTTATTTTAGTAATAAACTTTCAAAGTAAACAGTGACTAAACAAAATATAAAAATATCTTCCTGTTCATATTATTTTAATGGATTTATTTCAATTTCAATCATTGCATTTCATGTTTCACCTTTGTAATATGCGTACGCTTTTATTTTACAGTAAAATGCCGTTATAATGGACTTAAAGGGACCTGGCAAAACAGTTCGTTATATCCAGAGTTGCTGTATGCCCAGGACACAACTACAGCTAGGACACCATTTACTCAAGCCACACCCCAGCAGACATACTTGTGGTATAGATTATTATATTGTACATGTAGGTTATCAAACTTTACTTGACCAGATGGGCTGCTATTAATAATCCCGACCACGTATCTGCGCTGGATATCACCAGCCCGCCAGGCGCCTTGTAGGCGGAGCTGCATGTCCGTTATATCCGAACAAAACTACAGCTAAAAGCGGCCCTGGGGACCAAATTGTCTGTCCTTTATAAGCGAAATTCCGTTATATGTGAGTCCGCTATAACAGGATTTTACTGTAATTATTTTGGAATTAATTGGAATGCTAAGACGTGATTTTATAGGCTTTATTATATTGATTATGTAGCAATCAATCAGCTCTGTTCTCCATATTATGGAAGTATCACGCAAAGCTTTACTTCAGAAAAGATGGTTTTTATTCTCTGCTTTCTCGTCTTGCTTTTACTCACAGCACTGACTACAGGGTTCAATTTTTTTATATAGGCCTACGTATATACAACACTCATTCTCTATGGAATTAAATCTGTGTCATCACAATTTGAATTTCATGTGCCACTGAAATTCTAACATTGAATATTTATGCATTGGAAATTCGATGGTCCGAATTCACATGCAAAAATACGAAGTTAAAAATACAAAGACAACATTTCAAAGTTGCGCCAATTTGATGGTCCGAATTCACATGCAAAAATACGAAGTTAAAAATACAAAGACAACATTTCAAAGTTACCCCAATTCGATGGTCCGAATTCACATGCAAAAATATGAGGTTAAAAATACAAAGACAACATTTCAAAGTTGCTCCAATTCGACGGTCCGAATTCACATGCAAAAACACAAGGTTAAGAATAAGAGTTAAACATCCGGGATACCAAGGCTAAGCAATCGAATCTGTGGCTGCGTTTGACACACACACATATATCTATGTGGGGAACGTCCAGTTATTTCTATGGAAAAAACCCTAATCCCTACAATGAAAACCATAACCTCTACCCAACCCTAACCTTAACCATAAGTAACCAAACAAAATACAAGACTTTTGGCATTTTTTGTGATTCCAATAAAATAAAAATAACTTCAAAATAACAGGTTTTTTAAATCATACTGTGGGGACATTTGGTACCAAAAATGTAATACATACATAGCGTGCACACACACACACACACACACACACACACACACACACACACACACACACACAAAGGCAGCCTTTGCAGTGCCCATGTTTTATTCCTCAGTATTTCAAATGTAACACTTAGAGTTGGGTGATATAAACAATGTTATCTACTTATTGTCATTTAAAATTTTAAGAAGAAAATAAGAGGCTTTGACAAACTATTGATAATGAACCTTGCATGATAGCACACATCAGCCCATGACATCATAGAAATGTAATAAATTCTAGACAAACATATGATAATCTTTTAAAATGCATGAATTATGCTCAACAAATGCACAGTAAAGTTGTTGAGTCAGCAGAGCAAGCCACATGCTACCGTAACTCCAAATGTCCGCTCAGCAGCCAAAACACATTTTAAATAAGGTGTTAGTGAAAAAACACGGTAAAAAACATAGATGATGTGATGGTACTTTTTGCAGTTTAGAGTGCAACAGGCAATAGATTGGTGCCGTGTAAAGTAAACTCTGTTGAAATCAATAACTTCTTTATTTTGTATGGGGAATTTTTTTATTCACAAACAAAAGTTTTTAAATTCTGTTCCTTCTTTCCCACAATTCTTCAAAGAAATTGACTCATGTATGTTTATGGGTGCAATATGTAATTGTTCTTCCTTTATCTGATTATGCATTTATCCTGTAAGTGGTTTATATTCAAAAAAAAAAAAACTAGAAGTGGAACTACTGTGTAGTTGGACCTGTGGAACTTGTTTTACCATCTGAACCACTGCCAACCAGCAGAACAGACAGGCTTATAGTCACTGATTAGGAATTCCACATTCAATCTGAAAAAATACAGCACAAACTGCACCATACTGGATACAATAATAATAATAATAAAAACAGGTCACAGCATTTCATTTTCATATGGATCAGATTTCTATTTATTATTAAAACCACAAACACAATTTGGACCAGTTATGAACCAAAGACATCTGTCTGTTAACTTATTTGAATTACAATGAGTTGCTTATTTACACATCTAAACACTGTCTAAATCCAGTGTTCTCTACTACTGAGTACGGTTGCATATCTTTCTTAGCTCAGTCTGAATTTCCTGACAAAAGCACCTTAAATGCCATAGGGTAACTTGCAGAGGCTGTTTCTGCCTCGCTCCAGTCACACACAGATTCAGGTGATGTCATCTCAAACGGTTAGCATGTTGGATGCCTTTCCATCAATATCTGTCCCCAAATGTTCCCAAACTGCAGATTATGACTGACTAACCAGCATTAGAAGCAAATCTACTCACAGCCACAGTTAGCATAATGTCGTTCATGTTGAACATCTACATGTGAATTTAAATTGGTTTCACTGCATGCATTGAACTGAAATGATGTGGTACATGATGAATATGTGGACACATAGCCCTAGTATCAACAGTATATGGAAAAAAAAAGTACATCTCCCAGATGTACTAGTACCAATGACTTTTCCTGGTTATAAAGAGCTTTGGGTTTATATACCTGGATGTGAAATAAACTAATGAAATTTTGGCTGAATATTCAATCTCCACATCACTCATGTGATGCGCACCACAATCATTGAATCCGTCCTCTGCACTTCTATAACTGTCTGGTTCGGCTCAACTACCAAATCTGACCTTAGAAGACTGCAGAGGGTAGTCAGGACTGCTGCGAGAATCATTGGAACATCCCTTCCCACTCTCCAAGATCTGTACTTATCCAGAGTGAGCAAAAGGGCTAAGAAAATCACCCTGGACCCCTCACACCCAGCACACTCCCTCTTTAATCTGCTGCCATCTGGTCGACGCTACAGAGCACTTAGCACCAAAATGACCAGACACAGGAACAGTTTCTTCCCCCAGGCAGTCCATGTCATGAACACTTAACAATGTCATGTACACTTAACAATACACGTGGTACAAACAACACAAAAACAAATTATTTATTTAACACACACGCTTATTTATTTTTCATATTTGCACATATCAACATACCTATACAAACACATCATACTGGAATGTCCTCTTGCTATTTTGCACGCTACTTTGTATATCTGTATATAACTCTTTATTACCTGTGTCTTGTCTTGTCACTGTCTTTCTGTTGCACTGTAGAGTTCTGTCACTACAACAAATTCCTCGTATGTGTCAACATACCTGGCAATAAAGCTTATTCTGATTACTTTCTCTGCGATTTGGACCTGTTATATTACATAGTAGACTTTACATTGTACGGTGGTACAGTGGTTTATACTATCGCCTTATAACGCGAAAGTTGCTGTGAAAACACCAGTCAGAATGGTCTGATAGTGTTTTTTTTTTCCTCATTACACATTTTTCTTCTCTACTGAATTCCTCCCTAGGCTGTGCTTCATTTCAGACTTAGTGTTCAAATTCACCATTCTACGAAGAGTATGGAGTATCTCTTGCCCCTAAGCTACACATAATTAAATATTAGCTTAGCACACAGCTAAGGAACACTCAATTCAAATGCATACAACCATACAGGTAAGAATTACATTTTCTGAGGTGCCAAGCTATTGAAAGCAAAGGTACAGCTTTTAAAATCATACAGTAGCATGCCAGCAATAGTAAGTCTTCAGCACTCTGCTGTACGGATATTTACAGCTCATTCAGTTCCTGAGTAGTGGGTAATACTAGACTGTGCCACGACATCTGAATAAGTCATCTTTATAGAGAATATCAAGTGTACACTTGTGTATTATGCTACTAGTTGACCATAACAAAAAGTTTTCCTGCATTTCTGCATAAAATACAGGGACTATCACTGGTACTCGACTACTTACACTTACATCTCCTAACAATACACAAAGCAAACATGTGATTTAAATCTATAAAGACTTGAAACATTTTGAACATTCAGAAGACAAGAGGCAACGGGAGCACAGAACTAGCCCAGCATATAGCTTGTATCAGTTATCCAGTAATATTTTGATAAACGGTGAAAATATAAAGATATGTTTATCTTTGCGCAATACACTTCAAATATAGTTTGATAAAGCAACAAATTCAATACAAATGATCCCTGGGTATTTAAAATTGGATTAACACAAGGAATAAAATGGAAAAAAAATCATTTTAAAAATATCCTCCAGACGCCTTGCATAAAAGTTGGCCTTTCATAAACGAACACATCACTTTGTGTCGTGGTTAGGCACAGCGTGCGGCACCTTCCACGTTTAGCCCCGTAAATCATTCCTTACTTTACAGTGAAACAAATTATCTTTGTTTTTACAGTCGCGGCAATTTCACAACGCCTCAATATCTTACAACACGGCTCCCAATGCTGTGACTTGGCTTTTTTTCCTCTCATGTCGTTAAAATGTTAATTATTAACGTCAATACTTTTTAATTAATTATCAGATCTCAGTTATTCATGTGATCCTATCAAATCGGTCTTCATGGGCCTCCGGGACTACAGCGACCACCCCAGCCACTTGGAATTAGTTTTATTCACTGAGGTCCCATTTAAAAGCGTTTATCTGTACCTGGACAGACATATCATCATCGCCTCCTTTTAAAAGAGAACCTACCAAGTCCAACAAGACACTCATTTATCTAGAGCGAGTGAAGCAGTGTGAATTATTCTAAGACATCTACGGGACGGCTTTGAATACAATTGATACAAACTATAAGCAAAGGTTACAGTGGCCGAGTCCCGAAACCCGGCGGAGGATGACCCATGATAGACACGGTACGTAGTCTACGTACCCAATCCAAGGCAGAGTATATCCAGCAGAACCAGCAGGATTTGTTCCGTTTCAAACATCTTTTATTCGTCGTTTCTCTAGGGTCCCCTTTGAAAAATGTCAGGTCACCGCCGAATTGTCTCTTAGTTTTAAAAACGGAGAACAAAAGAAGGAGTGAGACAACGAGAGCAGGGAGATGACTATGACGTGCGCCCGACCAGTCGTTCTCCCACCGCAGCCGGCCCAGATCTTAAAGAGCACGGCGCTCCTCCTTCGGCACGTCTGCGCGGATCTGCGTCGCGTGATGTTCGCCGCCACCCGGCACAACAACCTCGCCCTGCTGGCTCCACCTCCCGACGCCACGCCCCTGACGCGTGCCCCGCCTCATCATGCCCTCGTGTCGCCCGTCCGTCATTACGCCGCGGCAATAAAACCAGCCCCAGAAGGTGGAGAGACTGAGCTTCACTCTGCTTATCGGGTGTGAGTTTCGTTATACCAGTATTAACTCGCAAAATGTAATTACGATTATAGATTGTCATTCAAAGTAATTAATCGCAGTTTAAAGTTTTGTAGTTCCGTTATTCATTTTTAGCATGAGATATTTAGTACTATTATAATTAAAATTAATAAAATTGCCTTAAATATGTAATCCCGGTATTTATGTAGGCCTATGTAATATACTATATGATCTTTATTGCTTTAAGGTAGCCTGTTTTCATGTTACAGTTTATTTTTACTGAGTTTAATATTGCTGCCGGATTTTACAACCCGGTATGGGTTAGTTGATAACAAATTATGCATATTCTCCAAGTTAAAATTACGTGGTATGATCTTGTTATACCGGGTCTGTTACTCTGTTGTACTCTTTAGATCAGAGTGAGTTAAGTAGGCCAACCTGTACAAAAACAGGCTGTCGTTTGCTGTACGGAATCATGGTACTCTTATATATATATATATATATATATATATATATATATACACACCTAATCGTAATATGTCTAAACGTATTCTCTCTCCCTTTAGCGATGAAAACATATCATAATAAAACGTATTATATATAAGCGCGCATATTATAATGAACATTTCTCACCTCTTGTTCCATGTGTATTTAATATACCTTTTTGCTGCCTGCAGAAGTCCCTGTTGTGCAGGATAATTTAAAATTTAATCTAACTTTAAGTACAGGACCTGAAGGCCCGATCCCAGTTCTGAATATGATCCTCTGTTAACCTGCTTGTTTTGCATTTACTACAGTCAGGCGTTTAATGGTTTGTGCCACATTAACTGTATTACACAGAAGTCGCAAAAGGCTAATAAATCTCAAAATATGAGAACCAAGAAACCCATCTGCTCCTTAACTGTAAAAACCTCACAATCTTACTGGACCTTTAGAAATCCAGAAATGCACAAGTTGATTTTTGCATACATTAATCTCAGGCTCATAACTTTCATTATGTGCAATGCACATGCATGAATTGCATATCTTTGGAATCAAGAGAACATACTCAGTCCGGTCATTCAAGTTGCAACACTGTGCGCTAAAGCATTCCAGAGTAACCACTGAAAAATGGGTTGGAGTGCTACCAAAAATAACAAAGCACAGCCTCCTATTTATTAGGAAGACAATTATTTGACATTTCCGCAATTTTTATTCATAAAAGTTTGTATATATATATGTTTGGTGTCGAGCTCCATCAAAGCAGTTGAAATAGAACACGCCCATCGTGCAACTGGAACACCTCCCACATGTGAACACAATGACGTGCTACAGCGTTGGTTACTTGTTTTTGGTTAAAATGCTGACTCAAAGTTTCATTCTCAAATTTTGCTTTACCAATCATAGCATATATAGGCAGAAAAATTAGAGCAATAAACATTCAGCATTAGACTCTAAAACTGTCTGTTATGTCTGTGCTTATCATCTGCGCTCAGAGAACCTGCTGTTTCTGCAGCAATGTTGTCATCAACAATGGTCACTCTGGGTCACAGAGGCATTCATTGCTTATTGAGTAATGTAGTGATTTCTCAGAATGATTTTAAAACTATACCTGCTCAGCATCACTCTCTGTGTCATAAGAGTACCATTATTACTCTCTGTCACTATACCTGCTCAGCATCACTCTCTGTGTCATGAGTACCATTATTACTCTCTGTCGCTATACCTGCTCAGCATCACTCTCTGTGTCATGAGTACCATTATTACTCTCTGTCGCTATACCTGCTCAGCATCACTCTCTGTGTCATAAGAGTACCATTATTACTCTTTGTCGCTATACCTGCTCAGCATCACTCTTTGTGTCATTGTAAGTGCTATTATTACTCTCTGTCTGGCCAAAATTTCAATATTTATTTATCATAAACTAAACAATTCTTTTCTATTTCAGCTTCTTTCAGATATTATAAAGTAATAAATAAAACAAAATTGTAAAAAAATATAAAAGTACGCATGCTGTCTATTAGTGTCATAGCCAGCGGGATGCCGAACGTCGGGAGAAACAAGAACAGATGCAATACTGGGGTAACAGGGGCTTTAATGAATATAAAGGAACAAAACTGAAAACAACAAAGATCTCAGGGGATCCAAATAGAGTGAACCGAGGAGGAAAAAGACCAAGCAACACAAGGGGCCCTATTTTCGTTTCTTACCAGTGCATTGCTCATTTTCAGTCCCTGCGTGCAAGTCGTCAAAATAGGCAATAATTCATTGGAGTGGTGATTTGTAAATGAGACATGACCGGGCGAGTTGGCATTGTGATTTTGACCAACAAAAACCACGTCGGAAGTCAGTGGCGTAGTACTAAATGGTATTAAAGCGGTGTGTTTTACAAACATATGGGTGTACGACACTCGTTACTGACACAACTATGCGCTCAAAGTGCACTAATTGTTTTATGTTATTTTATTTTATTTATATACGATTTATATACAGCAGATCTGGTCCTTTCACATAATCACACTGTTTAATGCAACATCAAAAGAAATCGAACATTCCATGTGTGATGGATGTCTGTTGGACATAAATGAGGACACATTAGAGGACTTTAGAAGGCGTGATACTGAACTGCATGCGCTGATGCCAACAAAGGAGGGTACACCAGCAGCAGCGCGGGCAAGGAGGGGTCAGCTGGCAGAAGAGCGGAATCGTCGGTAGCCTGGTAAAGAATCTAACTTGTGGGATGTAGAAAAATAACAGCCCTATTGCCTTTTATTTGAACATTTTAAGACACCGTTAAAACTGTAGGTTGTGTTTTGTTTGAGCAGCATTTGCGCTTTTATTTATCTTTTGTGAACTGGAGACCCAAAACTAAAATGAAAAAAACACACAAGCATAGTTAAGTCTCTGTTCCCAGCCGCTGTGCTTGTTCTTCAGCAGCTTCTGTTTTCTCCATCTTCTATCATTATACCACTTTCAGCTCTGTGTGGATGATCTAATGATGCCAGGAAATGAGGTCACACTGGCTGCTACCTCATCACACGCCTGCTTCACCTCGAAAGGCTTAGGTGGAACAGTGGTGCTCCCGGAGATGATGTGCTTGCGTCTATTCACCTTGTCCACAAGCATCTGGTTTGCCGGGCAAACGCGCTGCAATAATAGCAATCCGCTGTAGCTCATATGCCGTTGCCTTTTAAAGGTTGAGGCGCCATTCTGATTGGTTCACTGCATGTTATGGCCAAAACATGCCTGGATGTTTAACCAAGAGAGTTAGGACATCCTTTTTGGACCTTGTGTTGGTACAAAGTATAGTTTTTCCGCCATTAAAATAGCATAAATGTTAGTTGTGCCTTGCGCTTCACGCTTTGCGTTACATCGTCCAGATAGAGTCCCAGGTTACAACGTTAATGACAGATTTGGCGAAACAAGACAGGGAAGCACTTATAAAAGCATCCAACAAGGGAGCAAAGAAGAGTTAGCGAGATGTGATTAACATGAGGGCAGGAACGAGAGTTAAGGTAAAGGAGCACTAGGCTTTGCTTCTTAGGACCAAACCAGGGAGGAAAACAGTAGAGTAAGGCAGACGGGGCTGGCAGCACATGGCAATCAGGTAACTTCAAGTTTCCAAATAAATGCAAAATCAAAGATATTCATTTTCACCGGACACTCACCATGTATTCCTTCACAATACTAAGCCAATGGAAGGTCCACTGAAAACCCCACATAATAGAGACTCTAATCTCAACATTTATAAGATTATATTTGTAGTGCCTGCAAACTTTTATATCAGATCAAAAATTTCAACAGGCACAAGTAATTTTGTATTCTAAAAAATGTAATCTGCGGAAAACCCACTCGGTCAGGGGTATCCAACTCCAACTCTTTCCTACCCGGCTTCTGATGAGCCACCCCTGCTGTAAGGTAAATACCAGGAACAGCTGTGGCTCATCAGAAGCCAGGTAGGATAGAAGCTCCCCAGGACCGAAGCTGGAGACCCCTGCTTTAGTGTGTTTCGCTGGTCACCCCACTCAGGAAGCCGTTGTATGTGTGATTTAACAGACTGTTGCTAAAATGAGACATACTGCAGAATTTCTTATGAAGGTCTTATTTTATATGTATTAAGGTTAGGCTGTGTGTATACTTCTAAATGTGAATAAAATTAATTGTCTACATTATTCTATAATAAGAACAGACAAGCAGTCTTAGAGAATCCATTTATCCAAATGGGGGAAAAAAACTCAACAACCTGCACAGCACAATACAAACACAGACAGTGACACCATCTAACACACCGTATGAAAGCATGTGCTTCACTCAGTACTGTGTAAACTTCAGTGAATGTAAATTATTCCCATATGCAACAAGGGTACTAGAGCACACATATACACTTTCCTCAGTCTGTCACAAGGGCTTTTTCTGCCATGCACACTTAAATCATGGCATTATGGCACAGGAAACAATTTGGATTTTTCAATACGAATCGTTTTGCACTTTGGGAGATATGGTCCCTCCAACACAGTGCACTAGTAGAAAGTGAAAGAAAATCCACATTTTGCACACAAAGAATATAAAAAAGGTTCAGAAAAGAAAAGACCAGCATGCGATTGACATTAAGTCACATTTACCTTACCTGTGCATACAAAAATAACTGCCTGTACATGGGGGGAAAAAAAATACTGTCACCATAGAGCTAACGTCAAAACACGGATAGGACAGTGCAGTAGGTGAATATGAAAAGGCCAGAAAGTGTCACGTGTACATCGGGAGGGGTCACATAAGATCCAGAAAGCCGCCACAGTTTGGAAATGGATGCCCTCTCTGACGATAAGGGACTGTTACCAAGGCAACGAGGACCAGAAGTGCTTCTGCTAGTGAAGCCCAAGGGGAGACTAGTACTGAAGGCTCACCGATGAAGTGCGACAGAGTAACACACCAGAGTTATTAATAAGCGAATTCATACACACCTGAAATGACAGTGACAATGAAGGTGGAGCTGCTGTTTTTCTGGGCTCTGTCAGAGACTCTCTACTGCCACACTTTCAATAATAAAATGACCAGAGGCTTTATATGACCAAAAACACTTTATTGGAAGAGAACTCCGGTCTTCATCTATTTATCGAAACGCTGCACATTATGCAAACAAGCTACAATTTCAGGCCGGTTCCATCACACAGAGCGGGTCCCTGGTAAAGAATACAATCCTGATAGGATTCTGAACGCTTCTGGATTAAATCTGGGCTGGATCACGCATTTGAATTCTACGCATTTGTTTTTTATGCAAATGAGTTTTACAGTAGACCAATGAATTACATCTAGATATGTATTGAGTTTACGTGAAGGGTGTTTTTACTGGAAATAAAGAGTAGCCTGTGGACGCCTCTTCCCACGGCGAAATATTTCAGAAAGGACTTCATGAGCCAGAAGTTCATCGGGTCTGAACGTGCAACCTATTTGTCTGGAGCCAGTTGATGAATCATGTATAAATCACACATTTAAATGCATTTTAGAAGGATAACTGGGTTTTTCTTTTCACAAGTCACTGTATCTGCAAGAAAAACTACAATTTACAAGTAAATGTGGTTGGTTATATGTTACTGTCAGCAATTTACTGATAATGGGGAGGGAATACTTTACTATCGATGTATTACTGATGGCCACTGTAAACCCGACTTCAAAGACCATAAATATACCTTTCCAGCTCCAACATGGATCCGGAACTGGCCCGTAATTGAAAACATCAGCTTTAATCATCATCCAACACATCAAACTATAGAATCTGAACTGGAATTCTCCATTAAGTAAAAATGCAACGTACAACAGGGAAATTTAGTGCTTAAATTAACACAGAAAGACATTACAACATTTCCAAGAAGCCACAAGTTACTCATAAAAGACAGCGATTGCAAATAATATAGTATTGTGGTTTCAGCAAACACTGAGGCATATGCCTTAAGGCTTAAATTAAATCAGGCAGCCACAGAACGGAGAAACCCTTCCCGTTGCTGTAATGAGGCAGCACTGGACAATACTTTGCAAGGGCTGCTGCTGTAGTAACACTTTGTAATTTATAACGTTTTTTTTCTCTGGGAACTTTCTTGCTCTCAGTTGTGCAGCTTAGCAACAGATTGTAAGTTTTACAGAGGAGGGCAAATTACTGAACGCAGTGTTCAGAGATAACATATGTGTTGTCTGCATCCCTATAATATATAAAATGTAATCAGGAACAGCAAATAAAATATTTAAAATGAAATCTGATTTAAAAAAAAAGAAAAAAAAGGCTATGCTGCAAAAAAATGTGTTACATGTTAATAGAAATTACAGATCTTTTTAACAAGTAACTGTATTTTTAAATAACAGTAATATTCATAACAACAACTGCATTCAAAAACGAAGGGACCATTCAGTGATGTTTAACAAACGCCACAGTGTCCCGGTTTTTGAATCTTCAAATACAGACACTGTAAATACTGCTAACTGAGCTTGTGAAGCGTGCAGAAATGATCTCCTCCGGAGAACAGTCCGATCTCAGACCAAAATTCAAATTTTTAACAGCTCGGATGGATTTTCTGAGGGCTGAATCTATGATTTGTATGCCTTCAGTTATACTGCAATTAGCATGTGTATAATCCTTTATATCTTTTGAGGATATATGTTATATTCTCCTTTAACTATCTAAAGTGTAAGCAAACGTATTACAGAAAGATGTTACATCCTTTCAATTTTTTTTGTCACGAATTCCACTGTGTCCTCCCTGTGACGCGGTGACATGGTGCAGGGCTGAGGAAGTAGTGCAGATGTGTCCCTGCTGGAAACGGCAAAGGGCATCTGCAGAAAGGCCCCCCCCCGGGCGAAGGGGCCCCCGAACAGATCGCCCAACTCGTCTCTACTTGTCGACGATCGAAAAAGATTTGGCAAAGTCTTGAAGGTTCCAAGTATATCTCCACCACGGACTCCTCCCCCTTCCCCCCCCCCCCCACCTTGCTTCCGACAGATCTGACCCTTAAGACGTTTTTACCAAATCGTAAACGTAGATGTGGAAGTCGTCGTCAAACTTAATGAAATACACTGATGGTTTGGCCTCGACCTGATGGATGACCATTCCAGTCCTTTTGGTGCCATCTTCTTTGGCGTACTCCACCTGCTTTCCAACCAGACTATCAACCACTTCTCCAGGTTCCCTCTCAGCGGGGGGGGAGTCATCTGTAACACATTGTGATAAATCGTTTGGGTTAAACTAGCAGTTTCAGAGCAGTCAGATTCTTCTCTTCTAACGACATGGTTATGAAAAGCAAGTAAGCAGAGAACCTGGACTTTTAAAATTTTAAATAACCTCCACATCAATCTAAGCACTTGTCTTCACTCTGTTAGTTCACTGCAACACTGTTATCTGGTCGGGACCCTGCTGGTCTCAGTAAAAATAGGCCACATCCGTCAGACGTGACTCTTCCTTAACGATCAGACATTCAGGATATACAGGCACTTATATTCTTCTCAGTCGGGATCCCTTAAACAGGTGATACTAGAAACATTTTCTAAACATGGTTAATTTCACCACTGGGATTAATGAGGACTATCTATCCATCTCTCTACTGCAGAAATTCTGAACCCAGTCTGCAAGGTCCCTCAGACAATCCACAATCCCTGTTCCCAACACACTCAATCAAGAACACCAAATACCTGGCACAGGTGCATTGGGAGCTGGGAAGGAGAAATAATACGGACTCTGGGTTGAGTAACACTGCTCGACCTAAAATAGGCGTCTTCATTTATCACATCACAAGCGATTGCTCTAAGACTACACGGATAGCCGTGTGGCTAAAATTGGCAAAAGAACTGAATTAGTCAGTGTATCAATGTAACTTAATTTCATTTGCGGTTAAAAGTGTAATTTATCTTACTAACTGCACAACAGTGCTGATCATTTCACATCAGTTGCGTTCCACAACATATATATTAATTTTCCATTTGAAACCAGGACAAATACAGGCCATAGACATCCACTGACGCTGTGCTTCAATGGAAGTTGCATGTTTTCTCTAAATGGAGAATAGATGGAAGCTTATTGGTTAATATGCTCTGATCACATGTTTTCAGAGCCTGCCCAGACGCTGTGCTTCACTGGGAATCTATGGGAGCTTCATATAAAAGTTTTTGCTTAGACAGCGTTGATTGGTTAGATATGTGGACTTGCAGTCAGATATTGTAGACCCGCCCAGAAGCCAGGCTTCTCTGCAAAAGACAGGATTAACTACCAATAATATTAATGCTCACGAATACCACATGGTGTTGGCAGTATTCAGTTGCTCTTTTGCATGTTGGTATGCAGGAGCATTTTGGTGAAACCTCGAATGACAGTTTATCGTTTCGTAAGTCACCCTCAGCCATTGGCATTTGCAAATATTGTGAATAAAGTCGTTATCATTTGAGTTTTACTTGTTTAATTTTCAAGTTCAGTGATTTTGGTAACTCTTTACTTGACAGGGCAGAAATAATATAGTATTCAGGGTTCGTATGATCATGAAAACCTTGGGGAAAATCATGAAATTAAGAAATCACATTTTCATGAAGTTGTGGAAAATAATAATAATAATGGAAAAATATTAGAAAGTTTTGGGAAAGTCATGGGATTTTTGAGAACCGTGTTTTTTCCAGTCAACATTCGCACTACAACCCAGTCTCATTCAAGCAGTTTCTAGGTTATACTTTGCGCGTCAGTCCTACTTGTGGGTATGGAAGACCGTTGGGGCAGAAAACAAGAGAAAATACGTCTCCACATGGCATTTCTTCCCATCCAGACAGGGTATTTTTCCCCTTCTATACGTTGCTTTCCTATCGAGCATTGGCATTACAATACGTATTTAAAAACCGGTGGTAACATGCATTTTTATACCGCATCAACACGGTACAAATGTACGTGTTAAGAAAGGCCTTTCAGTACTAAGATACACCTAGAACAATACTTTTCTATTCAAGGGCAAAGAGTTCAATCTGTAATGCATTGTATTGGTTGCCACTCACACTCAAAATCTGTAAAAATTTCAACAGAGGTTTATTGTTTTGTTTGATATGCTGAATAATGTGTCTAAATTGGAACAAGTGAAGTAAAAGTAATGATAAATTTATACAGATTAAGTTGAAGAAATCTGTGTTAAATGGCAAATCATTTTTGCATGCCATTATAATCGCCCTGACGTGACATAAGCACAATGTATGTATTATAAATGTCACAAAAGAATGAAATAAAATGTTATCCATGTAGTTGAAATATTTGATGCTATAAACAAACAAAAGGTGTGTGTTGTTGTCACATAGTTAGTGTGGTCTTGTGGACAATGCTAAAATAATATTTTTATATGTAATAAATACTGTTGAAGAGTAGAATGAGTAAACACTATATGAAGTCCAAATATCAGACAGTAAAAAAGACGTGAGCATGCATGTGTGCGATTGTGGTGTTTTTTGAAATGCCACAGTACATTTTGCATAAACACTTGATGTGCTAAATGTGAAAAAGGTCGCTGTGCTGTGAGTACAAGCTAGCAGAGAAATTTAGATACAGAATGTGTACGATTCACATTAGAGTATCAGACAGTGTGAAAATAAAGACGTACGTGTGTGTGTGAGAGAGAAAGAGAGTCGGTGTCATTCACGTGGTTACTGGAAGGAACACATTTAATATATAAAATAAACACAAAAGGTATAAAGTCATTTTTAGCTTATAATTCCATGCAGATGCTAACAGTTGCAACCCCCCCCCATGGACCTTCCTACATGTTTACATGCAAAGTAAACTGTGGCATTATTTGTTTATGGCATTGTTATTATTGTTATTTTAACTTTACACATTCTATAACACGTTGGGTACACTTCAGGTTAACATTACCTCGTTCATACATTTGTGACGTTGTGGGTACGAATATTGCGCTTATGGCACATTAGGGTAATTATTACAGTGCGCATAAATAATTAGTCTTTCAGAACTAACTTTTACAACTCGGTAATTATTGTTTCCTGTTATTGCAAATGTAAGGAATAGATTAATGACTTTCTATTTGGTAATAGCTAGGAAAGATAATCTATTGTGATTAATAATTATTCAGCTCACCATTATTAGACCACCTAAAAATTAAACTACACCTTTTTTGATAGTGTCTGTCTGAACAGAGAAAAGCAACATACATATCTATAAAATATATGCAATGGAAGGTACATCCATGTTCAAAGGATGAATGCAAGGTCATAATACCTGGTTCCTCTACACAAAGTACGTGTTTATAATGGTGTCATGCGATGATCGCATAACAACTTTGAACTTTTCCTGAATGGGCTGAACGAAAAAAAAAATCTTGGAAATTTGTTCATCGAAAAGTATATGAACCCTGAGTATTATGTTATTACTTATGTATTAATTAACCAGAAACTAGGTCTTAGTAACATACTGATCTTTTGTTAATTCATCACTAACAAATCATAACGCATGTTTTTTCCTCAAGCAGTTACTATATTTGATACTATATATGTTAATTCTGTAAACCTTTGTGAACTACTGAAGGAACAAGTCATGAATAACACAAATGAAACACCGATTTCATGTTTGTTCATCATTAATGAATCGTGACAAATCTTTTATTTAGTAGCGACTATATTTGTACATGATTTGTATTTCCGTAGTAACTGAGTTATTACTAAATATTTGTGCCCTGTCAAGTAAAACGCTACCATGATTTTTAGTACACTAGTTAGTTAGCTTGCTAACTAAGCTGCGTGTGTATTCATGCTCAACTAGAGGCTTTGAAGCAACATGGCCGACACTAAAGAAGTTCTACAGAAGTCATTTAATGAATGAGAGCAGAATTTGCATGCAAGTAGCTGGCCTACTAAAATACCTGCTGTTCACAGTGTGCTTCTCCTATTTTAAAAGTCACCAGCCACCACTGCCTTACATAGATTAGTTTTCACAGAATTTATACACCTTAATTTAAATGACCAGTTTTCACAGACAGTATTTAACCCTGTGTTTACATACCAGTAGTTTAGTATTCACACAAATGCCATAAGTTCAAAAAAACCATCCCGTGTTTCTTACTTGAGTCGGGCATTATCCGCAGGTCGCCCTCCTTGTAGTCGTCTAAGAGCTGGTACATGTATAAAACGGGGTCCTTCTCGTAAGTAATATAAAACCATGTGTTCATGATGGGTGCCCGAGCCAGCACCATGCCCCTCCACTCGTCCTTCGAGCCTTCCTCCGTCTCAAACATGTGCTCAACGGCTTTGCCGATCATGCTGTCGGCCAGGTGCACGTCGCTGATCCGGGAAGAGGCTGTGAGACGGGCACCGCTTAAAAAAGGCAGCCAGAGGGGGCAGCACACCCACACAAACAGCACTACAGCAAACTAAAACACATCCACATGCCTGTAAAGGGATGCTCACTCCGTCACTCTGTGACTTTTTTAATGTTTAAGAAAAAGGCTTTTGAGCAAAAGGCTCTGGGTTCGTGTCTCAGTAGCTTAAAATAATGCCTTTTGTCTTTCTTGCAGGAGTGTGGTTAACATTATATGTTGGCAGATTCTCACTGACTAAACTTAAGCCTGTAGTTTTATGCCCCACTGGGGCACTTTTGTCACAAACAATAGATCATAACCCACAGTTAGTACTATACAAAAACTGGCAAAGAAAGAAATTAATATCATAATCACTTATGTGACACAATTACGGTCTTCTACCGTTTCTGTCACCTAGAAAAGAACCCAACATCTCTTTAAAAAAAAAAAAAAAAAAAAAACTGTCTTAGCCACAAAACAACTGGACAGACTAAACGCCTTGTTTAAACTGTAGCATGGCACAAACACAGGTTATTATAAGGCCCTACCTAACCCTTTTCTGGGAAGATGAAAGATCACCACATAATCTCAGCAGAACCTACCGATTCGGTCCGGTAAGACCTCAAGATTTTGCACGCGTTCATCCTTATGAAGTTCGAGCCCATAGACGCAGTCGAACCCATCATACTTGATCAGGTAGAGCGAGGGGTTCACGGGCACCTGGTCCAAGACTGTCCCTTTCCACTGTGTCGGGGAATTGCTGCCCTCTTTCCAGATGTGTTGAATCCGGCAACCCACAATGTTCCTCCTGGGCTGGGACACCAGCTTGCTGGGCCCAACATTGCTCCTCTGTTTCCTGGACAAGGACCAGGACATATGAGAAAGAGTGCAATAATAATTACAGCAAAGCAGCTTTTCAATTTATCTGTTAATTGAATACTCTAGACACAAATGGCAGTTTCCATTTTTTTTAGTGATGACTGGAGTTTCCCACAACATTAGTTTAATTCAATCAAAATTATATTTATTTCTGCTGTCAAAAACTGCTATTTGAATAGATTTAGATTTGTCTATCTTGACTTCTCTCTTTGCCCGACACATGTTCATGGATAGCTGCTAGTATTGATGAAGTTTGTTGGACAGGAGCTACTCTCTCTAACTAACTGTGATGATGGGGTCTTCGGTCATCTTTAAATGGCACCCAAATTAGATCAGCAAAGTCATCAGTTGCCTTCCAAATAAATAACCACGTGATCAGACACTGACCACAGCTATTGCTGTCATCCAAACTAACGATTTAATCCAGGTCCCAGCACACATTACCACAGACCTGCCAAGTAACTGTTTAGAGTGAGCAGATACCATCATCTCAACTGGGTCACTGGATCGTCCATTGTGAAACCAACCACTTATTATGAACTTCATTATCAAAAGTGTTCATCACGGAATATGTTCTCTGTTCTACAGGGTGAGAAATCTCAACATGCAGTTCATCGGCCATGACATAATAGGTGGTGAGATCACAGTACTTCTCATTCTACATTTACAAGCCAGTGTTAAAGAACGTTCCACACTGAAACACAGTCCATTCTGAACCAGGACCTCCTACGATCACCATTTCCCAGTTCCCCGTGAATGACCTTTACTACAACTGGGTTTTCATGTCTAGTGTGATGACAGGATGTTCTTGTGCATGATGCAGAATTGCATGTTGGTGATGTGACTAATCATCTTCAAGGGCACCATTCAAGGGAGCCAGAACCTGAGCCTCTTGACTATACATCCTATATATTACTGTACTTCAGAACTTATGTGAAAGTTAGGCAATGGCGGATGTGTTTACAAACAGCCACCTTCCACCCTTGGTCAGTCATTGTATGATCAGTTGTGATCACGAGGGGAGAACTCTGATGATACCAAAATGCCAAGTGGCAACAGGAAGCTGCAAGAGCCGCTCCTAATGACACTGTCTCTGCCTGCTTCTGAAAGTGCATGCTTCTGCAAACCTCAAATTCGGTAGCGGCCTAGGAACAAATGTCTATTGGCCTGCAAGCACGCATGCAATAAGGTGAGAAGGGAAAGTGAAAGAGAGGAAACGAGTGGCACACATGCAGAGGACAGGAAATGGAAACAAACTTACTTGTGGGAATTTTTCTTTTTCATCATGTTTGCAGATACACCTGCATGACCTAAAATTTGCAAAAGAAAACAATACGTGGAGACCTCATTTAACGTCACACCATCAAACATGACATCTAAGCAAACAGAAACACCAAAGAGATTCCTAGGTCTCCTTTGACTGGATTGCTACACCTTTCAGAAAAAAAATGTTAAATAATAAAATATGGAAGTTAAAAACGCAGAGAAACAAGGCATTTAAGCAGAGTAAATTTGTATCCATGCTGGTAAAAATTATGATAAAACCAACATGGTCGATGTTTGGTAGATGAGACAATAACACGACAGACGTTCACCACAGGTTCTTGCCAAACCAGATGAACAGCCATTTTGGTCATACTTCAAAATCTTTATTCTATTTCTGGAGATTAATCTGCTCCTTCAACTGATTCAGACTAAACATTCAGACTAGACCGGACAAAACACTTGCGAATCTTTCAGAACACCATAACACTGAAATGAGGCAGCTAATCACATGACACAGCTCTGAAATCCACAGTCCATGTCTGAAAAGAACTCCGTCATCCCTCTCTGTCTATGTGTCAAACTAAATTCCTAGCAGGTGGTGAATCTTCATCAGCCATCATCATCGAAAGATCATAGAAAAACAGAAAAAACCTGCAGCATTCAAAATATGAGTGGCTGCATTTCTTACAAATCTAGCACACAAGTTAGACATTTTCCTATAACTGCAAAAATAAAAGGCAATAAAAGCCAGGTGTGTTCCACACATTAAACAAACACAGTTCCATCTGCAAAGTAAGAAAGGATTCAAAAGCCCGCTTCACTGTAGGAAAGGGTCTATGACTGCAGACTGAGTCCAGATCATGCAATAAGGACAGGCACAGCTGTGCAGCCTTGCAGGCTTGAGTTAGAAGGCTGTGTGTTCTTGTCTGAACGATTCTCCTGATGCTCTCTGAATGTTATAGAGCACTTCTTCTCATCACTGAAGTGTCTTATTTTACTGGATTATTTTATTGTCATGGTTTTCTTGCTATATACATAAAATACGGTATTAACTAATTCCAGTGTTTACTAGATTACACTTCTATATCCTTTGACCTATTTATTTGTTTAGCTTTTATTTACTCTCAGTCCTTTATTTTATTTAGATTTATTCCATCCTTCTATAATTTAATTGCCGTGTACGTTGGTTTTATTTTATATTTCTTATGTGAAGCACTCTGAGCTGCATTCCACGAAGAGTGCTATATAAATAAATACATTTCCGGCTTTGTTGGTAGATGTTGTGTAGTTCTTGCTCCTATCCTGTTTCCGCTGTACTTAGACATTCACTGGAAGCTCATCCTAGCTGCATTAACGCCAGTCATCTCCTCAGCTGCCATATGTTTGCCATGTGCTTTTGCCTTGCTTGTACGTCGCTTTGGACAAAAGCGTCTGCTAAAAAAAAAAAGTAAATGTAAATAAACGTTCTTTCCATTTGAATGTTTACATGACTTCAGGAACTTTTTTTTCCCCCGTCTTCCAATATAAATACTTTTACATTTACATTTAAAAAAAAAAATGTTTTAAATAACAGATTTATTCCAAATATTCTTATTCAGACTGACCTGTGTAATGTTTTTTTCTCATGAAAAGACACATAAACATATCTGAAAAAGCTAAAAAAATAAAATAAAAAAATCTCAACAAACCAATATGAAAGAAGCCGAGCTTCTGGAATGTACCCATCACATCGCTTTAACACAAAGAGATCGTCTGACATATTTCAGCGATGATTTACCATGGACTTTTAAATATCCATAATCTCAGATGTGTTAAATTACTGTACTATAGTTTCCTCAGCATGTCTGGAAATATATAACAATGATAATATTGAAAATCATTAACAGACATGCATCAAGTTTTTAATGACATGGGGCCAAAGAAGTGTGTTCAAACACCAACTGTTGACACACATTGAAATGCCCTCACCTGAATCAGCTCTGGGTCTCTGGCCAGCCGTCTTCCCAAAGGGAGTCTTCATTCATCTGGATTTGGGTGGGCAGCAAAGCTGCTTGAACTGGGGTGAGGGAGGGGAGAAAACACGGCCCCCACCGTGCAGGTCGAGGCCCCTCACTGCCGTGTCCACACCACCGGTGGACCAGGTGGGATTCCAGCCTTGAAACCCCACACCCAACAAAAAAAAGAGAATGGATGCACATGAAACGAACTTGTTTTGGTTCTTATAGGATTGTGCAGAACCCTGGTGGTTCCATATCATTCAGAGATAATGCTAAAGTACAATTGCTTTAACAGGAGGTGTAAGAATTCCACGAAGAGACCCAGAAGATGCAAGTATTGTGACAAAATTATGTGTTTTACATTCAATTTGTTAACAACACGTTTTGTCCAGTCTGCGTTTCCTCACTTCCTAAAAGACATCTACCACAATGGCAGGCAGGACTGGGTCTACGTATAGGCGGAATAGGCGATTGTCAAGGACTGTCGAATTACTGGTGTTTGTGAGGTAAGTGAAATGACCATCGGTCTTCTTGGTAGAGGGGAGTAAAGCTTTGCCTTGGGCCCCTTAAAAGGTAGAACCAGACATCATCATAGGCCCCACATTAAAACAGCACCTTTACACAATTGGTAGATACTAGAGGACAGTCATGTTAAGACCTGTCGTGCCTTCTTTGACTACAGCTCTCTCCATACATTGTGGGTCCATTCCACACAAGTGAGTCAATGGTGGATGAAATATGACATAACTGATGTTGCAAAAACGAAAATAAACACTGCATGGCATTATAATTAGAGAAGTAAAGCATCTTCTAAAAGTATGGATTCCAAAATGGTTCGTAACACTAATATTTATAAAATTTAATACCGATTCTTGAAGGCATTAACACACCAAACGTCCATTTCTTGGAACAGATGTGTATTAATAAAAAAAATCTTTTCACAATACAAAAGAGTGAATTGCTATTAATTGTTTTAAAAATGTTTCTTTTCACTATGTAAACAGGTTCAGAGCTCTTTTAGCCAGTTCAAGGAAAACATGGTTGTATGGGATCAGTTATCATACAGAAATCCTGAGATATTGTCCTCTATTTGTGAGGTCAAAGCACTGAGTATTACCTCTTGTTTCCTACATTTACAAATTATGGCTTTTGAATGGTAACTGTAACTGAATTGTTCCTTTTCCATGACAGCAAAATTATCTTCAATTCATATTTATGTTGACTGATTTTTGACTCTGAGCCATCTGGCCGTATGACACCACCAAAAATGCATCCATCCATTTTCCATAACTGCTTATCCAGTGCAGGGTTGTAGCAATCCTGGAGCCTATCCCAGGAAGTACAAAAATGCACAGGGGTGCCAGTGCATCATAAGGTAATCCACAACCACGGAGGCTGAACACCATCCCCTGAGTTACCAAGCTTTGGATGGGGAGACAGCTTAAGAGTGGCCAGGTTATAGAACGCCATGCAAAAAAAAACATTTGTGGACTTTAAGGCACCCTTAGGATTCAAACTAATTAATGTAAATACAAATAATAATTAATGCTACATTTTATAATTCAGGAGCAGCAATCTTGACCCCATTCTACAATTTAACACTGCATTTCCAATTCGAATTTACTTCGGTTTCGTTGTGTAAAACTAAAAGACAAACTGAGGTCATACAGAACGCTGGTTAAAAGACAAGTCTTCCTGCTGCTAATTTGATGCTAATAGCACATACATATGTAATTGTACAGACATAATTATTCAGTGCCAGTGCACGAAAATTCATTTCGAAAAGGTGTAGAAAGATGAAATGCACGAAACTGCTCCTTAAATGAATGCTGTTTAAACGATATAAGATAAACTTGGCGGAACGCAGTTATGAAATTCCTTAACATGCGCGTTAAGCATTCGTTCACCTTTTTAAGGATTTTCATATCTAGCCAGCATTTTCTGTTTTCAAAAGCATCGAGATAGGCCGATCTAACCAATCGGACGACACGGCGCATGTGACGTCACTATTAGCCTCCAGCGATTAATCGGCCGCGAGGACAGCCCCGCTGGAGCGCGGCGGCGTGACTTTTGACTGTTTGTGTCGATTTTCTGAGAAATTACCCCAGCATTGCGCCCCCAAGAGGGCCGCTATCCCATCTTCTCATTATAAAAGCAAAGGCCCCTCCCCCTCCACTAACAACAGAACTCGTACTGTAAGGTTGCATCAGTTGTGAAGGCATGTACCAGAATGCGACAGATGCACGACAGATCCTTCGCAGCTCAACCAACGGCATTAGTGACTTGGTGATGGTTATTTCACAATAATGTTGATAACGAGTTTCAGTCGTTAATTTAAAAACACAACCAGGATCACCCCGCCCCTGCAGACACTGGCTTTATGAAGAACTTGTCAAGCTGAAAAAAAGCCTTTGTTCGTTTTATATGTTGCATTACCACTGCATAGTGTGTGCGGTATGTATAAGCACAAAATGGAACCTGGATTCAAATCCAGCAAGAATATTTAATAAAACATGACAAGCTCACGTTGGCAAAGTGAGTAAGAAAAAAACTACCCATGCAGCAAAATCTGCAGCAAAGCTTACAGCTGGACGACAGTTCAGTTAAAGAAGAAACACTGATTAACTTTCCATAGTTCACTAATTTTAAGAACACTGCAGCCTTTCAACCAGTGCACTAACCTGCTGGTAATGCTGTGTAGTTACCTTGTTGCCTGGTTACCTATCCAGGCAATACAATAAATGTAAATCGAGCATTTAGTCTGGTCAAACGGGCGTGTAAGTGACCTTAAAGCATGACAGGCAAATCGGGGGGTTTCTTGGAAAAGGGCCGAATAGATCAGCGTCGGGGCGATTAGAAACGCGCAATGTAACGCCGATTGCAGCGCCGACTGTAACGCAGCCGACCACCGACTGCACGGCGGATCGTAACGCAGAGACAAGAGCGTTGGCAGCGACGGCGTGTCAGCCATGTTGCAGCGCCGCGCTGCGCTCCGCTCCAGCCCGCAGAGCAGCGCACAGCGGCACAGCCGAACAAAGGAAGGAAGAAATCGTCCTCCATCCGACACCAGGAGCACATCTCAGACGAGCACGAAACGACGCCCTTAACCAGCAAAATACATCAGAGGGCACCCAGACCCCTACAAGCGTATCGCTCTGCATGTTTACGCTACCCCCCGGTGTTGAGTGTTTAGGAGTCGCTTACCCGGAGTATTGATAAGATGCAGGTCGCCAGTTAATCTCGCCTCCTGTTTCCCACCGTCTCAGCCTCCGTTTACAGGCAACCCGAATTCCACCGCGGAGCCCCTCCCCTTTTGCGCTGCCAAATAGTGATCCAGGCGCTGCACCCGGAAGACAAGGCACTCTCTGTCTTCCTGCTAAATAGTGAGGCCCTGTGTTCAGACAGTGTGAACTGCACTGGATTGTAGTCCTTATAACTATACTTATCTAATGACTTCAAAGGGAATTAAATAAGTGTTCAATTGTTGATGTGATTTATTAGGTAATCCAAATATATTAAATTGACACTTTTAGCATTTATGCTTAAAAATTAAATGTTTCACGTAGCGGATTACAGTGTGTTTTAGGAATTAAATCTTCGAACTACTGAATCTGTCAATCAGATCTATCTTGCTTTTGATTCCCTCTTTTCTGGTCAAATAAAAATTACTGTTGGCCTTTTGCTGAGTAGAATTACTCCATGCTGCGGTTGTATTATGTTTCCCAGAGGGGAGAAAAACTGAAATAAAGAGAGAGTTTTACATTAAAGACAGAAGTCCCTTAAAAAAATGTACTTTTGTGTGGCAGCTACAACTGGTAAAATGGTAGCTTGGTAAGGGCTTGTGTCACCCTTGGACTGTTATAACTGCCATGTAAGCGTGACAGGTGATTTATTAGCACAAACTAAAAGACACTTAGGAGCTAGAGCAGGTCTCCAAACCATAATGTGGAATGTGTTTCAATATTTTGCTTTTTTCATCAGTTGTCCAATAATGTGTGCCACACATCCATATTGTTTGATAGTCTCCTTTCATGCTAGGTCACAATTATGTTCTATTCATTCCAGAAACATGAGATTTTGCAAATGTTAACAACCAAAGCATCTAGATAACAATGAGGTATCTATATTCATTTATTGTTTTCTATCGTACCTGTCCCAACGAGGGTTGACATTTTTAGGGAACAGCATCAAACATTTTAAATGGGGGAATGGTAAGTCATCTGAAACAAAAAACACAACAACTGAATAGGCTACCATTCTAAAGCAATTACTGGAAATTATATATACAGTCTATTTTGCTTGTTATATAGAGTATAAGATTACTCTATATTACCAAGCCACTAAACTAATCTTAGGAAAGTAAACTAATCTTAGGAAAAACTAGTTCATATTGACATTCTAACCACTTTTCTTGGTCATGGTTACCTGGAGCCAAGCGCAGGACACAAGGCTGGGGTACACCCTCGACAGGATGCCAGTCCACCACAGGGCACGGGGCTGGGGTACACCCTCGACAGGATGCCAGTCCACCACAGGGCACGGGGCTGGGGTACACCCTAGACAGG